TTTCTAATTAATTACCGGCCTTTAAATTTTTAACAACAATACTTATATGGTATTTTTTATTTTTAAATTATAAATTTTCACCTTTTTTTATCAACAGATATTATTTTTAGTATTTTTATTACTTTTCAAGTCATATCTTAATTATTTTCGATATCATTTCCTTACAATAGTATGGCACATTGGCACCTACTAGGCTACTATTTAAAATATAGTTACAAGGTCTTTAAAGCTCTTTCTTATTATCTTTATTCATGAATCTAGATTATATATTTATTATCGACAATAACAATTAACTATCTTCTACTATCTTATATTCATTACAGATTAATAAAAAATATTTTTCTAAAAAAATAACATTTATCATTAAGACCACTTAATAAATTGCATTGTTAGTATTTTTCATATAGATAAACAATTAATTATGAAATGCATTTAGATCATTAAGTTAATATGATTTTTTTATTAAGTTTAAAAGTCTGATTTTTTTTTTAATTATTAAATTCTTAAAAAATTTGCACTCAATTAAACATTTATTCTTAATAAAAAATAAATTAAATAATTTCATTAATAATTTTTATTGTTGATCGATTTTAATTATTAATTAACAAAGAAATTGATGTAATAACAACTCGTTTCTGATAATTGGCCGAACATCTATCTATCATAATTTGAAGGGTAAGAAGAGCCTTTGTACAAGGTTAGGATGTCATGGGAATTGACCCAACATCAAACAACCGGGTTGGGTTCCATCAAGCGCTACCGATGTATCACCATCCGATACGTTGCCAAATTGGTTAAGTGTATTTGAAATTATTTTATAGTTTACGGTGATTGTTATAATAATTTGAGGATTTTATTAGCATTATTTACGAATTTTGAAAAGCATGTTAATTGCGTAGCGATTTCTTCATGTTGCTTACATGCACACTAATTGCGACGATGCAGATCGAACACATAAATCTTAGTAGGCGATGTAGAAGAGTAGGATCCATGACAAAAACCGTCGTACAATCAACACATTTTTCAGAAATGTTCGTACAAAATCCTGACAAAATATCTATATTATTGTAGCAATCACCCATGGTGCACCTTATTCAAGCATTTTTTCCATCACAATATTCAAGTATTTTTGCCCACCAATATAGTTTCTATTAGTAATTATTCGATTTATTTAATAAATTAGCTCGAGTGAAATGTTGTTTCAATTAAATTTTTATTTAAAAATAATAAAATTGAAAACATATCTCAAACCATCATTTAAAAATCAAGTAAACTATACTGATGATCTTTTTTTTTATCTTATTTTGGTTGTCAATTTCAAAAAAATATATATACTTTGACCATTTAAGTTATTGGTTTATTACATTTTAACTTAACTCATAAATTTTAAATAAAATATAAATTAATTGAATTCAGCCAAATATAATATTATTAATAAATAGGTTAAAAATTTAAAGTGGTTATACAGAGTGGACACATGTCACGGTTTTTCTTTAAATACTTAAATACATATTAATTAGCAATTAAGATTGAGGTACTTACTTGTTAAGAAAGTACTTAATCTATTGCTAAATAATTAAGTATAGATACGGCCAATGTGATAAAAATAAAAATAAATAGGTTCAAAATTTAAAGTAATTATATGGTGTTAACACATCATGTTTTTTTCGTTAACTACTTAAAATACACATTAATTAACAATTAAGAGAAAGGTGCTTATTTGTTAAGAAAGTACTTTGTTTATTGCTAAGTAAATAGTAATAATAATAATACCCAGATTCAGTTATTTGAGAATTTCAAACGCACATTAGTGTTAATGAAATGCCATTTAGTTAAGGGCAAATAGGCCTTGCAGTGAATGCATAAACTCTTTTTTTCCCCATCAAATGTATCATGTTCGAGTAATTCATTCATGATTTTCTATAATTCGAATTCTAACATTCATTTTCGATTATTGTATATAATGTTTGAAAAATTAAACCGATTTGAATTGTAGTTATTTGAATATATATGATTTATGAATTTTTTACAGTGTTTGTTCGATTTTCTCATTCTATCATCGAACCATGTTGCTCTTGAGATTGCAAACCACGTTGAAGCCTCAATATATGTGTGCCGTCGAAGATTTTACTCGAAATGCCCAGTTAATCCGAACCGATCTACGACAAAATCATCATGGGGAAAGGTAAAAGATATGATGGTTGATGGGGATAAGAGAGAATATGTAGCAGAAAGAGATGGAACTCTCCTGCAACAATCCAGTGCAACAAGGTCTGAACTTCGAACCCTTATTCCGAAAATGTCCGTTTTACCGAAAGCTACTTCATTCTGGGATGTCTGGCATATAACATCGTGGGACGTATTGACGATTTGCTTATATGTAGATGACTTAAACGAAGAATTTCGAAAAGTTATGATCGGGTCATACATATTACAGTTAGTGTAAGCGTGTGCAAAAAGGTTTCTATTCGATGCAAAAGGGGTGAAGGAACTCATTTTCTCTATTAGATTTTAGGTTTTTACAATCACCGAATACTTGCTTTCATTGGTAGACCTTTACAGTATTTATAGATCCTCAAATGCACCTCTCGTAGAGGTTATAACAAACCAACAAATATAATACAGCTGTAACAAATACCATAACCTCTCACAGCTGCATACAATAACCGTATTCTCATCTTTATGTTATCATTCTCAAGGAGAGCAACAGCCCTGCAAACTTTTCACCGGCTGCGGCTCAGATCAGCCCTGCAAGGCGTGAAAGAACCCCTTTTCTCAAGAAGAGCAGCAACAGCAACAAGACGTCGTGGAACTGGCGTGAAGAGGGTTTCGACTAATTATCTCGGAGTCGATCCAAAAGCAAAGACTTAAGGTAGTAAAACAGATAGTGTATGAGTTGATAACACACAACTTTGCTGTAGTAAAATGCTGATCTATATGAGTTGGTTATGTTTTAACACATTCTTGTACTTAATTTGAAGCAGTTTCTATATCAAAAGAGTCTATCCTTTTCATAGCAGTTTACTTTAATCATTAAATTAAAAGAATAAATGGACCAAATTAATAGAATTTGAAGCAGAGGGACTGAGAACATAATTGTACCCCAAAAGGGTAAAAACAGAAAAGAGAAAAAATTGGGGCATTCCGAGAATTGAACTCGGGACCTCTCGCACCCTAAGCGAGAATCATACCACTAGACCAAATGCCCTTGCTGCTGATACAAAGAACACAAGTTTAAATTTAAATTTAAATAAAAAAAATCACCTTTACATAATAATCCCTTTAAGCTCTATTTAGGATTACTTGTGTGAAATATCCTATATTGTTGTCTAGATTATAAATAAATCTATAAACGTCAAAATGTTTTAACCAAGACTTCAAATATTAATATTTTTTCAATTAAATCTTTCATAACTGTCAATTTATATGTTGAACGTCAATTTAAATTTTATGTGAAATATATTTAGAACTCATGATAGAATTATTGTATGATCAAGTTATATGTGACCAATGATGAAGCTATGTACACTCTTAGGGAGCTACTGTACCCAAATTTTTATTAAAAAATATATAGGAATAAATATCTATTTAGGTATTCAAGTGTTGATTATTTTGATTTTGTCCCTTTTTTTTATTATTAATTATACTTTGTCCATTGAACTAAAATTATGGTTATGTCTCTTTATGTAACGTGCAAAAATGTTAACAAGATTAGGTTCTATAACTACATACATAGTTAATGTTTGATCTGTATGTTTGAATATATAATGATAAAATTAGTTTTTAATATTTGTCCAAATACTTCGACTTTTATTATATTTTTAAGTATTTTAGTCATCGATGTTTATTTATTTTTTTGTCAAAATAACCTAGATTGGATAGAAAATGTTGGCTGATTAACAGTTAATATATGTTTTTAATGTGATATTTTTACACATGCTTAATTTGTGACGTGACAAATGTTACACCATCAATTTGAGTGTCATGATGCGAGCCATGTCATCAATTTGAGTAACATGGCATATTTTAGGTCATTACTTTGGGTGACATGACAAGTGTCATGTAATCAATTTGAGTAATAGCACATGACACGTCATCATTTTAGGTGATATAAAATTTTGGTGATATGACATGTGACATGTTAGTAATTAAGAACACGTGGAAATACCACGTGCTTTGACAATTAGTTAACTAACATTTTCTATCTAACAAGAGCTATTTTAACCAAAAATTAAAATGTTTGGGACAAAAATGTTCAAAAAACATGGTCTAAAATGATCTTTTGAACAAATGTTGAGGGCTAATTTTATCATTATGGCATGTTTAAAATATATCAAGCTAAATTTAGGCAAACATTTAGTGCTCAAGCTAATCTCTAGGTTGATAAAATGATTTTGATTAATATAGTACTAATATATGAGGATTCAATTAAAATATTTTCAAATTCAAAGATCAATTTAAAATTTAAATAATATTGTGACGACGTACAATGAAATTAGCTCTTTTATAGTTTTATTTAGGCATAATGACATTTTGACCCCTCAACTTTATCAGTTTATTCATTTTAACTCTTACATTTTTATTGTGTTTTTCTTACCCTTGAACTTATACTATTTATCAAATTGTCCGAAATGTTAGTGTCAAATACTTTATCATTTTATATCATAGCATCAAAAAATTCAAAAAATAATTAATTCGTCTTTATTGAAATTTATCAACTCCATTTTTAACAATTCTTAATGAACTTTTTAATGACGTGATAGAAAATGATAAAACAACTAACACCAACATTTTAACAGAGACGAAATGGTGTTATTTTTATATCATATTTGGGTTAATTTGATAAAAGAATTGAAAAATAACATAAATTAAGGAGTCAAAAAAATCAATTTTGCCTTTTGTTTAGGTGTTGAAAAGAACACGCAGAAAAGTTTAGGGGCTTTTTCAAAAGTTTTACCAAAAGTTTTAAAATATAGAATAAAATGATAGCAGACAATCGTTGTCAGCGACCGACCCACAAAAAATAGGAAAAAAATGTCACAGTTGGAGTATGTGAATTGCTTGCCTTATAATTTCTCAGCCCTCCAATCCCAATCTCAATCTCATCACTTCGTCTTCACTCCTCAGCCCCTTCTCTCAGTTTCCCAATCCTTTCATCCAAATTCCGATGGCCAAAGGTTAAAAAAAGTAATTTTTTCATCAAAATTTTCGTTTTTAATGATTTTAGCTTTGTTTTTTCTGTAGGAGGATCGATGGAGTCTGTGGCGGATCGATACGATTCGACGTTGAATGTGTTGTCTTCGTTGATAACGAAACGGAGTCGTGCTGATAAGAGTAATAAAGGGGATCGTTTCGACTTGCTTTTTGATTATTTGAAAGTAATTTTCGTTGTTATGTTTTTTTATTGGAGTTGTTTTTTTAAGAAATTTATTTGTCTGTTTTATTTACTAACTTTGAATTGGGTTGTGTGTTTATCGGGTTTTAGATTTTGGAATTAGAAGACGCGATTCCGCAGTTGAAAATCATTCATGTTGCTGGCACTAAAGGAAAGGTATTGACAAATTTTAGCTAATTAACTTTAAGAATCTTTTCCCGTCCTTTTTCTTCGTATGCTGCATTTATCTATAACTTTGTCTTCGTATTCGCCACTATTTTCAACTAGCTTATACTCTTTTTCTATCGCATTGGGCTCCAACTATATTGGAGTTGAGTTAGGTTGACCCTCCGAAGTGGGAAGACTCATTGTCCTCGCATTCGCCGCAATTTTCGACTAGCTTATACTCTTTTTTGGTCACATTGGGTCCAACTATTTCGGAGTCGAGTTAGATTGACCCTCTGAAGTGGGAAAACTCTCCCAACATCTATTTTCTCCGTTAGACTCGAAACCAAGACTTGCATATGTGATACTGAACTCCTTACCACTTTGGCTTAGGCATTAGTGCTATTTTTGTCTAGCTGGCTTCAGTGAAACATAGTTCTTCTATCTTGTTTTTATATGACATGTGTATTGTTATACTGATTCTTTCTTCATTTGGAAAATTGAAAAGGGATCAACATGCACGTTTGCAGAATCTATATTACGTAATTGTGGGTTTCGGACCGGACTTTTCACGTCCCCACACCTTATAGATGTTCGTGAGAGGTTTCGGTTGGATGGGTAAGTGTGTCAATTTGCTTGTATGTCTATTTGATTTATTTTAGGTAAGAATTTAAATTAATGTCTATATTTCTTCTTCTTTGCATTATCTAAATGTTGGCTAACCACTGCTATACATAGTTTTTTTTTTATAAAAAATCTTGCTTTTTTGGCTGCTTCAGTGTGGAAATATGTGAGGAGAAATTCTTGGAATATTTCTGGTGGTGCTATGATAGGCTGAAGGTACGTCTGCAGTAGTGTTTCACACTGAATAGTACTGGTTAACAAAACCCATTTAATGAATTGAGCATGTCAATCCACAAGTTTGTGGGTTTTGTTAACCAGTACTATATTTTATTTTTAATGTGGATTATTTTCTGTTCTAAGTATTAAGCATTAGGCTCTGCAATAAAGACTTTTTATTTTAACAACTAGCATTATACATTAATTGGTCCTAAAATAATTATTAGAATTTGCTTATTAAGTATTTCTCATGGTACCTGTATTCAACAAAGTATCATCAGACTTAAAGTGACAATCTTACAAGTGGATATGAATGTTTTTTTTTTTTGGGGGGGGGGGGGATACTTCTTGAGAATTCGGCATGGCAACATGAAGTTGGGGCTTCTGTAGCCAACCTACCTACTAGAAAGAATAAGAATTGAGCCGTGTAGCATTTCAAACAATCCTGAATAGTACACATGGACTTACCTAGATTTTCCGTCTTTGACAACTTTAAACAGCATCATCTACAATATATTCTCTCTAACCAGTTCCATATATAACATTGAACAAACAATATTGTCTTTCATTTTAGCTTTTCGCTTGAACAATGTGTTTAGTCCTGTTGACCTTTTTTTCATTGATTTACAGGAAAACACCAGTGATGATGTACCAATGCCTACATACTTTCGCTTTCTGGCCTTGCTTGCCTTTAAGATATTTGCCGCAGAGAAGGTTTGATGTGTGTTATGATCCTTCTATATGAAGCTGTTTTTCCGTATTACTTCTTCCATTTCATGAGCATCCTCTGCTAGTGAAGCAAAAATAAATATTGCCTTTAAATTTTATATGCAGGTTGATGTTGCTATTCTGGAGGTTGGTTTGGGTGGAAGGTTTGATGCAACTAATGTGGTATGTTCCCTAATTTTGTTCTCGAATACGCTAGATGTCTTCCAAGCAAAGCGTATAATTTGTGGCCTCCGTAGTGCTGAAATATAATGCTAGTGCTTATTTTGTTCTAATTTTTGTCAGTATGTGTTATTTTTTAGGTTCAAGCACCCATTGTGTGTGGTGTATCTTCCCTTGGGTATGACCACATGGAGATTCTTGGTTAGTGTTATATATATATTACATCAGTTGATCGCTAAAAAGTAATGGCCTAAAACAAATTTCTCATAATTGTATTGTAGTTGATAACGTAATATAAATGACAGATCCCTTAATAGTTTTTTGAAATTGCTGAATAAGATCTTTGAGAGACAAAGAAGCATTTTAATTTGTATTGCATTATCTTAACATCATGCAGTAAATTCATAATATCAATGATTTTTTTAACCTCATGTTGGCAACTATATTTTCATTACATCTGTGAGGTTTCATTATCCGGAGCACTTGAAGTTTTAAGCTTAAAATGGAGAAAATCTAAATTATGCAGAATTAAGTGAAAGTATAGTAAGACTTGCTTTAGTGTTGTCTACATGGTAGTCAATACTGTACCAGCATTCGGCATCCCGGTTGTAGTTGTACTGGTCTTAAACCGGTACCAGTAGTTTATGTTCCATCAGGTCAAATTTGTTGTCTATCTGCTTCCTCAATTTAAACTATGAAATCTTCTTAGTGTCCCTCTGTACCAACTTTCTGAGCTACGAAAGACAGTTACCACGTATGTCAGAAAAAGAACTTCCTGCTTTCAGAATAATTCAAGGTAATGCTAAAGATTTTGCTTTCTTTTCTTTTCTGGATGACCATAAACAGGAAATACTCTGAGAAAAATTGCTGGGGAGAAGGCTGGTATATTTAAGGTGTTTTTACTTTTAGAACTATATTTAAAGCATATGATAAGGGTCTGTTTCTGTGTTGTAACATAATTTATTTCTTTCTCCTTCTATTCTTTGTTTGAACCTTTTCTACTGCAGCATGAGATACCGGCCTTTACCGTACCTCAACCTGTTGAGGCAATGCAGATGCTTGAAGAGAAAGCTTCGAAGTTAAATGTAAGTTTCGCAACTTTTTCTTTTCTGAGTTCCCTTACAAAAACTTTAAACGTGCGACTCAACTTGTATTCAAATTCTGGATTTTGCCTTGTTCTAAAGGACATAAGCTATGCTAGTCTGAAGATGATTATGTTCTTCACAGGTAGACCTTCAAGTGGCGCATCCAATTGATGCAAGTTCACTGAATGGTTTGAAGCTTGCACTTGAAGGTGAACATCAATATTTAAATGCTGGTCTTGCTGTTGCACTGTGTACTGCTTGGCTTCAGAGGACTGGTCATCCTATCAGCAATTTCAATCAAACAGTGGGTTCTATTTATTAGAGACTTTCTTTCTCTGCATTCTAACTACTTTTTGCTTAAAAGTTGTTTATTTCCTTGGAATAGGGTCCATTACCTGAACCCTTTATCAAGGGCTTAACAACAGCTAGTTTGCAAGGGCGGGCTCAGATTGTCCGTGATCAATTTCCTGACATTGAAAATCTGGTCTTTTATTTGGATGGAGCCCACAGTCCTGAAAGCATGGAAGCTTGTGCGAGGTGGTTTTCCCTTTGCACTAAGGATGATAATCACCAATCAGACCAGAATTCTGAGTCACAGCAGCAATCGGACGAAAGATCTAAGGATACTGCCCAGGTAGAGTACCCTACTTTGTTCCACAATAATTTCGATTGTCTAGAACTTATACGTAAAAGAGAGTACTTCATCCTTATGGACATCAGTGTTGTTGATATTCTCATAACGTATATATGTGGTCTCATTATATCTGCTATTCAAACTTTTCTATTTTAGCAAGTTGAAAGAAGCAATCAAACACATAGAGTATGTTGCTGACTTGTATTTTGCTTATGAGTTAATAGTATTAAGGATAATCTTAACCTTGGATGGTATTGGGTTTTCAGAAAGCTTCGGAACTCATAAGTTTGATGATTGAGTTTATAAAACTCAAACATAACATGAAGCGAGAGTAAACATATATTTTGATTGTTCCTTGAGCTGTAAACTGTTCACATTTTCCTAACATGCGTGCATGTACATCTAATTTATATTTTTGTGCTTGGTTTTTTCTTGACTTTCTGAACTTCAATCTGTAAACTAGATTTAGACTGCATCTTGCTGATGGTGGACTAAAATTTTGAGAATTACTTGCAGATTCTGCTGTTCAATTGTATGTCTGTGCGAGATCCACAATTGCTTCTGCCGCGCTTGATGAGGACTTGTTCCAGCCATGGTAATTGCTCGAGTTACAGGCATGTTTAGATGTGTTTCCTTGGATAGAATTTTATATCCATGTGATGGAAAGCGTCATAATTGCATTTGAAGTTCATGAAAAACTGGTATTTAAGGGGAATGATTATGTTCAAGTGCTTTAATCCATATATTTGGAGGGTTATATCTCCATACCCATGTCTGAATATATGTTGGACATAGATGTCAAACACGGTTACTTTAAGAAAAAAAAATTCAGAGCGACATAGATTTTTTCTAGACAAGTTTATATTCTTCTTTGGATCGAACAAAAGTTAAGATTCATCTTGACAAGAAGAAACTTCAGATTTCATGTCAATGGGATGACAGGAAACTTTCTTGGACAAAGAAATTTATATATTATGTTTTTTACAATCTGTTAATCATTATTTCAGGTGTCCATTTCAGGAAGGCGCTCTTTGTGCCGAACATATCGGTGTATCACAAGGTTGGATCCAATACTTTACCTACAGTTGATCCTCAAGTTGATTTGTCATGGCAATTTGCTCTTCAAAGAGTGTGGGAAAACCTTCTGCAGAATGATAAAGGTATCCACCTAATAAATGCATCACATTCTTCTTATTTTTCAAAATTCAAAAGCTTTTTTCTTTCCCCATATTTTATTTCTAATGGGATTTACTTCCCTTGGATTCAAGTTCCATTATCTGCTTGATCATATGAGTGAATTGATCTTAATAATGATCATCGCAAAATGCGCAAAGTAATTGGAGACATGGTGCATAATCATGGGTGTTTTGTTCGGTTTTGTTTAAGATGATAGTTTTCTGCATATACTAGGAGGGGAGGCCAGTAACACCGATCAAGTTATTGAAGAAGTGAAAGACGATACAGGAATGAGCGTTAGGTGTTGTAAAAACAGTTCCGTCTTTTCTTCTCTACCATCTGCTATAAAATGGCTCAGGGATACTGCCCAGAAGGACCGATTTGTTCGGTTTCAGGTAATGCTTGAGATTATAAACTCACTGTTGTCAGTATTTACCTGCCGTTTGTATATAACAAGGTTAGAATACTTCAGGTTGAGTTCTTAGCTATAGTACTTTAGAGTAGTTTACGGATTTCAACTTTTTTTTTTTACAGTTGTTGAACGCGTACCTCATAGGCTTTTAGAACAGGTAGGGCTGTGCATGAATCGAGCCACCGAGTGACACTTGTTCCTCCAAAACATTAGTTTTTTAATTAAACCGAGTAAATCACGGATAATCTATTGTGAGTTAATCTTAATATTTTTAAATTTGTAGCCTACCTGGGAACGAATAATTCATCAAAAGAGTATCAATTTCAGATATCTGTCTCCGGCACGACATGCTCAATATTTTAAACATAGGTTGGGAGAACTCAGCAAAAACTTGCCTATAGGCATACCCCATATATATACTCATTTTATCGGGTCTTTTTGAAGAAGTATTGATGTCGTGGTTCGGTTGTAACTTTTTCTTTAATGCTTATAACCCGGACCTTTTGTCTTCCTCTTGGGTTTGTAATTCCCTTTTTCTGATTGATTAGGTCCTCGTCACCGGTTCCCTGCATCTCGTAGGTGACGTCTTGAGATTAATCAAGAAATGAGGCTGAATCTCCCTCTGACATCGTTCATGTAACAGAGACAACGTGGGTTCGTTTTCTTTACCGATCGAGGCAACTTCCCCATGGTCCTCAACCGCCTGCATTAGGCTTCCGAAGTGTCGGTTTCTCGGGGGGTGGGTGGGTTGCTAGCTTAGGTAAACACTTTCATTTATGAATTCCGAAATCGGCATAACTTCAACGAGCTAATGAATTATTGTTTTTGAAACATGTTGAGACAAATCCAACTAAACATCGCAATTCATTTTGATTTGACAAATCGAATAATTGTTTTGGTGATGCTGCAAGCAAATGAAGTAAATTTACGTGATAATACCTCTATAAGGTGCCAATACCTATAGTAAAGAAAGTCCCTTTTGCCTCTCTATGCCTATAGTAGAGGTGTTTTTTCGTATTACTGCCGTACATATTTCCTTTGACTGGTTTGATTTTAGACATTTTAAGTTTGTCGAATTTATTAGTATTATTTAATCAGTTAAATTTTATTTGAATTTTTTAATTAAGTTTATGAAATTCGAGTTAAGTTGGACTGAATGTATTTATTTGAGTTTTTAAGTTTAAAAATTAGAGGAATAATTGGAGGGGAAAAAAAAGAAATCTAGGGATAAAATTGTAAAAGTATTAAATTATTTACTTAAAATTTTGATTTTGTTGTTTATTTGAAATTTAAAAATTTAAATTTGGATCAAATTTAATTCAAGTTGACTTGAATAATTTGACTCGTTGAAAACTGAAAAAAATATTATATTCTTTGGGAATCGAATTGAGTTTTATCTTTAGTTTAAATTTAGTGAAAATGGATTAAATTTGATCAAAATAGATATAAAACAACTAAAAAAATAAAAATTAAGTAAGCAAGATCAAATCACAAAATATTTAATTATTTAATTAAAGATTAAAATATTATTTTGATTTTTGATTTTTTTATATTTGAACTTTACAAATATAGACTGAATTCAAATTCTAAACTCAAATAAAAAAAAATTGAATCTACTTGAATAATTTGACTAGAATAATTTAAAATTAAAAGAATTATAATTAAATTGAACTTACTCATTCCCTTAAATCTTATACTCAAACCATACCCTTAAATCTTGATTTGGAGTTTTGATTGAACACCAAATTCAGAAAATTTAATTATTAATACAAATAAAAATAATTAACATTCAATAATTTTTTGTTGGCTAAAATATTAAAGAGCATTTCGAAATACAAACCGAACTCACAAGCCTAAACATATTTTTTAAGGACAAAAACTTAGGCGCCCTAATAACTCATCTCTTTATAAGACCTGAGTTTGAATAACGAGTCCAATATCATACTTCAAGCCCAAAAACAAGCGGGAAAAAAACACGTGAACAAGCAAAGTATTTCTGGAAGAAAAAAAAAGCTACTTCATTCTAAGGAGAACAACAAGCAATTTTATTTCCATTTTTGTTGGTCTTGGAGAGAATGATGCTAGTTCCTCGAGGAAGGCTAGTAGCCGAATTTTCTTGTGCTGCCAATGCTTTTCTGCTCAAGATTTGATAAATATCCATCAATATCTTTTGGAACGCTTTATCGATGTTGATAGCTCCGAGTGCCGAAGTCTCTAGGAACAACAGACCTTCTTTTTCTGCCAAGCTCTCGGCATCTTCCTTCGATACTGCTCGAAGGTGATTGAGGTCCGATTTGTTCCCGATCATCATGATCACGACGATGTTCGAACCCGCGTGGTCTCGCAATTCTTTGAGCCATCGCACGGTGTTGTCGAAGGTTTGCCTTTTGGTTATGTCGTAAACGAGAAGTGCCCCGACCGCTCCTCTATAGTAAGCACTTGTGATTGCTCGATACCGCTCCTGACCGGCCGTGTCCCATATCTGCGCTTTAACAGTCTTCCCTTCTACCTGAACCCAAAAAAAAATATTGCAAGAAACCACTCGGATTTAAATTACGGTCGTCCATACATTTATGATTGTAGATGTAATGAATATTAAACAATAAAAGAAGAAATAATCATATATGGATATAGATATAAATAACCTGAAGAGTCCTTGTTGCAAATTCAACACCAATAGTAGACTTGGAGTCCAAGCAAAACTCATTTCTTGTAAATCTCGAAAGAATATTCGATTTTCCGACACCCGAATCTCCGATCAATACAATTTTGAATAAATAATCATATTCATGATCCACTTTATATGCCATTTACACTTTCTTTTATCAAATTCCAAACCAACTAGACAGAGAAAAATGAATTAACATTATCGTGAAATTATAAAGATGGTTACAAAATAATCTGAATTTTTATAAAAAAAAAAGTAGAAATCAAAATTCATAAATTAAAAGAGTGTAGGGAGAGAAGAGACTAACCATAAAGGGATTGAATACTCGATTAATATTTGATTATGGATATGCAAAATGTGATTAGTGTAATTCCAGATTTTTGGTGAATGTTTTGTGCGAAAGTTTTTGTTTTTCCATAGCCAAAGAGAGAACACAACAGAAAAAACGAATGAGAAGGCACATATAGCGGCCATTTGATTGAAGTTAGGAGCAACGTCAGAAATTATATTTAGAGGGGCTAAAATTGAAATATTAATTTTTGAGGGATTAGAGTAAAATTTTAACGGATTAAAAAAGAATTATTCTAGTTTAGATTCAATAAATCCGTTATAGTCTTTATTTTGTGTCGATGAACTGTTTAAAAAGTGACGTGTATTGATATTTGATTCCATCTCAAAAAAGGAAAATAATGTGTTAGAATTTAAAAATCGTAAAAATGGTACCTAAATTCAATTATTTTTTAAAATTTTATATATTTCCCCTTCTTTCTAAAATGTTTTATTAATAGATGTAAAATATGTTAAATTAAATCTTATTATTAGTTCATATATGAAATGTTAGTGTAGATTTGATTCGTGTTTTTCAATTTGATAATTTTTAATCATGTAATTTAGTTATATTATTTCTATTAGATGAGTCGGATTGAAATTTATTTTAAAAAAATATACATTCTTAAGTTAATAAAAATTATGAATATGTGACTAAATATAACTTATATATAATACATTTACTAATTGCACCAATAATTAGCACTAGAATGGATAAATTTTTTAATGAATACACTATTTTAAAAAGATCAATTTTATCTATTTTTTTTAGATTTAGAAATTGCTGTGATACCTTTTTTTTTTCTTGGTATAAAAAAAATCAAACACTCAGACTTAAACCATCTTCATGGAGGACCGAGAGAATAGCATCAAAAGACATCGGAAGGATTCATCCTGTAAAATTATCTTCATCTTCGTTATTCTATCGACTAGCCTATTCGCTCTTGTGGATCATATGAGAATGATATTGACCAATTTCCATCCACCAACTCTCGTACATGTTGAAGAATAAAAGGCGATGTCACCCTCTGTGTATTCCAAGACAAAATAAAATTCAAGAATAACCTGCCTTGCCTCTATAACCCAAGTGTGCGACGAACGCTCCCCAACTTCAACCACAGAGTAGATTCCCACGGCTTTAGAGAAGCCGATAAAATTCAAATTATTTATTTATTATTTTATATCGAAGCTAAATTGCTTGAGATCCTTATACATTCAAATTAACTTCATAATCAATTAAGTGTTTATTATTTTAAATGAAAGCTAAATTGCTTGAGATGCCCTTTTTATCATTGGACTAAAAATACAGCCAAATACCAACAATTAATTTGTCCTATCTCGATCGATTTAATGAGATAAGACGTTAGGTCACATATTTTCTCCGGATTAAGAGAATCATCCCATAATAGGTTTTAATATTCAATCCAAATTAGTTGACCAATGAATTAGATACCAAAGTTATAATAAAAAAAAGCCAAAATAAAACAATTAACTTAATTATTTGCCCCAGAAACAAGGAGTAAATACATTTCAACCTCAAGAAAACTAGTCCCTTTTTATATAGAACCAAAAATCCATTTCAAGTTCCAACTATTATGTTAACCATGTAAATACAGTACCCGGCACTCCTTCCAATATTTCAATCCTGTGTCCCGGAAACACATCAAAATACGCTTACCATAGCAAATCAGCGTCTCCGAACTCGCCTGCCGTTCGGGTTCATGGATTCTGCCACAGGACCTTCCGCTGCAAGATCCATCCCATATACACTGCTGGCTCTCCTCTTCCGACTTGATAGCAGGCTTAAGCTCTCCTCACTGGACGCAAAGGCCTTCAACAGCTCCAACAACAAGGACGGGCAAGATTCCTCCAAGTGCCTGAACCCTTCCGATTGCATTACCGCTGCAAAAGACATTGGGAATACAAATTAGCTTACATGTTATCATTGCCGAACAATTGCTTTCCAATGACCTCGGAACTACTCACACACAGGTTGTCAACAATTGATAGGCCAAGCTTAAATAAAAAAAAACATACTGTAAAAGAATCAACTCCAAGACGCAACAAATAACTAACTTGTGCGTCCAACAAAATAACATTCAGATGAACAAATTTTCAAGGGTACATTCCAATATCCGAAGCATTGAGCAGTTTTGACCACAAGAATACTGTGCTCTAATCCATTTCTCAGCATTTCACATAATATTTTTATCTAAAACCTGCTTGAGGGGTTAAGGTATTATGTACCTTAACCTTAAAGAGGGGCCGGTAAAATTGAAATATTAGCATCCATCATCAAGAGCTAGACACGTACGAGAAAGTACAAAAAGGATTCTAAAGTTTAAAACAATACAAAAACCAAGTTTACATAACCTGGAATTTGTACCGTAGTATCTACTAACACGTACCTCCCAAGTTCGCCGGAGTTGCAGCAAATTTCAAACATATGGCCTTCAGCTGTGCACAATGGTGCTGCTCAGCAAGTGCTAGGGTCGATGCCACTGTGGCAGCATTAAGTTCTTCGCACAATTTTGCCTCACACAACACTTTGAGTCTATCTAAATTGTACAGATCAGCGGCAGCCAAAAGATGCTGCACCATGTTGGTAGATGTACACATAGATGTTGAGTCTGTAATTTCTTGTACATCAGGAAGCTTGTCGGTATAAATAAATAAAAGCATTGCCTGGAAGAGCAGACAAGGGTTAGGATGAATTTTCGTTCGAGCTGATTCGCCAAAAAAGAACATGAAAAAGCACATCTATAAAGCTAAAATCTATACTTGGCAATGGTTCAAAGCCGGTTACCAGTTGAATATTTAAAAATAAGTTTTAAAAGATTATGTATTATGTATAACAAATTTTAATAAAAATATGCATTTAACAAATTTCTTTCAAGTGTTTGATTATGCAATACACTAGTTGTAGGTCCATTCTTCAAAGTCCAAAAGAAAGTAAAAGGAAGGATCACCTTGAAGATAGAAGGCTCGAAATCTTTCACTACTATTTTATCCAAGTTAGGGTTCCCGACGAGCCCAAAAAACTGTGCTTTAAAAACAGGTGAGCGTGCAGCAAGGATCAACTTATGTGCTTTAAACGTCTCATCACCAACTTGAAAAACTATATCACAGTTATTTTCAGATTCTAGCAGAACTCTCAAATTCTGACCCATGTCTGATGGGGATACAGGAATAGAAGACAATTTTGGCCCCTCAAGGCGAGTCCTGACTACTCCAACAGTGCAGTTCATGATTAGACAATCATCCTTTATGTAGTCAGAACCTTCTAAAGTTGTTCTTCTAAAGAATCGTTTGTATCCCCTGAATGCATGAAAAAAAGAAGGTAAAATCATCGTTATTAAAATATCATACGGACTTATACATGTACCATATTCAGTGAACATATATATTTAAAATCTCATAGTAAGACGTAGAGAAACCTAGATGCTCATCAATAGAATATGCACATATTTCAACAACACAGATGATCATATAACATTTAAAGTGAAACTAAATGGAAATCACCAGCACACGTTTCATCGGAAAGAGCCAGGTTTTATTTCCTTGGGTTATGTCATTGCCTCATTGGGTCTTGTCCAGGTTTGCTTAAGTTATACAACAGCTTCAATGTGGTTTTAACTACTTCATAATTATTGGGCACAGATAAATTTCAGTGTAATGCTTAGATCCTCAAAATTAAATGAAAGAGAATTTGCCAAGAAAGTAATGCTTCACAATTAGCTTGTCCTAAAACAGCACCCTCGGTTGTCAGTTTAATCAAACAAAATCATAATAACAATTCCATATATTCTATTCAATGGACTTTACAGAAAGATAACTACAGAGTACAGACAGCACGAATACATGAATGGCCCAAACATATACCTTAAATACGATCATGGTAAGGAAGAATTTATGACAATGAATAGTAATAGAACTGCTGAACCCCATTTTCGATCAAAATTCACCAACATACATACCCATATAATAATCATAATTGAAATAACAAGTACCAAATAAATATCAGATTCATTCTCCCAACAAACAGATAACTAGAGTTTTAAAAAGAATATAAAATTATTAACCAAACCCCTAAATTATAAACTCAAAATTCTTACCACATGCTTCCTCTGTACTTCAACGTATAAGGCCCACTCTCCAACGCTTTATCAAAGTGACTATGAACCTTATGCTTCCCTTTCCCGCTCTGGTCAACAAGGGTGAGCTCGAAAAGCGCTCTAACATCGGTACCTTCGCTAGCCAGCGCAATGAAAACCGAAACATACATCGCACTATCCTCTGGATTTTTACCGTCGGGGTAAAAGTAAATCGCCCAATCGTAACCTCCGACTGTAAAAACATCGCTGGATATACATTTCCCAGGACCCATCCCTTTCGCCAACGAATAACCCTTGATCGTGAATTGGTGTGACCCGTTCACCGTCTCGCACACCGATTTTGATTCCGAGTCCTTTAAATCTTCCATGTTTCTTTTCTTTTCTTTTTTTCATCGAGTTTCCCAAAACCCTAACCCTAGAAATTTCATTTCTAAGGTAAATTTGGAGAAATTGTGAGGAAAAATGTGGAAGATAAGAGGTTGAGGCTAGGTGACGAGGATTGTGGTGGCGTCAGCAGCAGCACCGGCGGCGGAGGCGATAAAATGACCGAAGGGAAATGTAAAAGAGGTTTTCCTTGAGATTTTTTTTTTGTCTTTTTGCTTCGTGGAGTTTCTGAGTTGGTTAATGACATTTGTGTGCGCTATATAAAAAGAGAGTAGCAAATTTTTATGTAATTAAATTGTAATTTTTTTTGTATAAATTATAATTAAAAACAATATATAAAAACTATTTGTATTTACATTTAGTTATAATGATATATTAAGCATTAACTAAAAATATGTAAAATATTTTATAATATGTATACATGTTTTGGTAATGGAATATATATCGCTCTTGATTGAGTTAGTTTTAGTGATTGGTCAAATATTAATTGAATTAGAAAATGATTAAAGTATTATTATCTTTGATAATATTTCTACTACTATTGT